ACCACTCCTACTACTTCTACAACTCGATGGGCCCCATAAATAATTTTTTTTTTGCTTTATGTATTAAAATATTGATTCAAATTTATCATTGCAAATAATAAAGTTCATTTTGCGTTAAATGGATTTAAGGAAAGATATTTGAGAAATGTCAAGAAAAATAAAAATAGCCACTTTAAATTATAAGCTAGAAAAAAATTAATAATGATTGGATTTGCTGGTTATCAAAAAATGTTTCTTGTTAGATATTAATTAAAATACATTTTCTTTGTAAAGAGGTTTCAATCACGGGAAAGAACTTTTATTATTTTATGAATAATTATTTTTGTATAAGAATAATTTATACATTTGATCTTAGAAGTTATAATAAAATTATAATAGTTTTTGAATACTGAATTTTGAAATTTTTCTTAGTCTTTTTTTTTGTACATATATATATATGCCATTTTTATAGTTCAATCTTTAGTAAAGTCTTAGTTCAATTTTATTTGTCCTAGACCAGCCCAAATTTGACTATTAAACCCGGTTCCGTGGCAGCTAAATTTTCATTTGTCAAGGATATTTATTCTAAAATAGTTATGCTAATATAAAATTATGTATATAATAGTTAAGCTTTTGATAAAACCCTAGATAGACTCATTCGATCAACAACCAGGTCGATTAATAGCTAATATGTGTTTTTGTAAAATCTAGTAGTAATAGAATATTTTTTTTAAACAATACAAAAAAATTGCAAAAACTTAACTTTTTTAAAGCTAAAATTGTAAATATTTTTCAATATATAAATGGTTTATAGACACTGGTCATAAAAATTTGAATAAATAAAACATTCAGTGATTAATGCGGTCCTTGGCATATATTTGTATAATAAGAAAGTTGCAGTTATAGCTAAAAGGGGGTCCCATATTCCAGAAATTGGTCTCTTTTCGTAAATATTATTTTAAGTTATTTAAAAAATTATCCCACTCCTCCCATCCCTCTCCATTAGTATTTTGTTATAATTTTTTTTCAACTAAAATTTGTCTTTTTAGAGTATTTTTACAGTGAATATATATATATGGATTATATCCATGTAATTTCCATAATTAAGGTATACCCACTTTATTCCTATTACGTATATATCATTATTTAGAACTAGCGAGATTTGTGGATAAATATTATAAATGCTAAAATAATCGTTATATATCTTAAAAAATTTCGGGAAGTGAAAATTTTATTTTTTAAACTAGGCTATTGAGCTAATAGACAGGTATTTCAATTTTATCTTTGTTACTTTTGATTTTTTTTTCTAATAACTTTTCTCAAATATCAATTCTTTATTTACCTTTCTTATTCGTAGGTCTATTTTACTTGTCAAAATGTCACTTACATAATATATAATGATTTAAGGCGAGTTCTATTTGCTATGTTGTACTTTTTGTAGATTTTATTGTATTCAGAATAGTTAAGAGATATAATGAACATGTAAAATAATCTAAATGGTTAGACTGGCCTATTCGTTAAATTTGTGATTTGAAATCATAATAAAAAAAATTTGTACAAAGAAATATCTTGAATAATTATAAAAAAAAAATAGAAATACGAATCAAGTAAATAGAGTCAAGGGTAACACCAGCCCCACATATCAATAAACCATGTAATAAATGGAGGTTACAGCTGATTACTAACGATCTTGAGCTTACAAATTTATCTCACGTAGATTCCTTAAAACCTGGTGGTATGACCTGCTGATATAAAGTTTGCGAAACCCTCGTTTAGGCGTTTTTTAGGAAATAACATTTTCACCAAAATGTAAGCTACCTTTTAAACTAAAGGCAGCTATTTCTATATACAAATCCTAAGGTAATATTTATTGATTGAGCCTTGTTCACTTGACACTAATATTAACGTCAAAATTCATTCTAAGACGCTACGCTACAATAATCAGTCATGCTCTCTGAGAAACAGAGTGATGCAAGTGTAGTGAAAGCGGACTGGTGAGTTGACAATTGTTTTTAAAAAATTTTTTTCCCATTTTTTTTTGCGTCCATTTATTTTTCAATTTTTAAATTAATTAATAAAAAAATTTTTTTTTTAATCAACCGATAAAGACTCAAAAGTTCTATTCGTTATTCGTTCTCCGCCTTTCACAGTATTAACACCATATTTCTCATAGCCGATTCTCGTTAATTAATTGCAAAACCCTCCGCACAATTCTGTTCTATTATAGCAAATAGTTACAAATTCAATCCATAAATATTATTTTGCTCTCAAACAGCAACCCCCTCCAACCCCCCTTTTAATGACAAGATAGCTTTTATTAGAGCCCGCCAATCACCAATCCAAAAACGTTTTGACTGCATTTTTACTACCTTTCTACCGAAGTTTTAGTGTTTTTCTTATATTGTTTATCCCTACTTTTTTTTAGATACCCTAATATTAGGCCTTCTTTTTGATTGAATAAAGCCGCCCTTTTATATTTACTTGACTTTTCATTTTTAATTCAATATTATAAATAAATCTTTTTCAACCCATTGGCTTTAACGGAGATTTACAAGCATTCGAAAGATTAGTATTGAATAAATTTAAACTAGTTCAGGTTGGCTTCATAAACACCTCTACCTTTTAAATTTTTTAAGTCTTGAGAGTAACCTCAAAACGAGAAAATGCAACCAGATCCTCCCCTATCCCAAATGTAAGTGCTTTAATTATTTCTAAATTTAACAATCGAGATTGTTATTTAGTTTCCTTTATTAACCTACTTGTTTAATGGTCGGATTTGGGTCAATTTTTTAGCCCAATTAAAATTTTAACCATAATAATATTATGTAATCCTTAGAGATTTGGCAAATAGAATTTCCAAACCTTTCTGCCACCTATGAACGAAATCTCCAGGCTTACATAATGTCGACTTGAATGTGCACTTTTAATTTACTTATTTTCCCTGAAAGATTTATCTTTTTTAAATTATACAGTTTATTCTATAACTTGTTAGACCTTACCATTGAGGGAATTTAACAACTTAGTGTTGTTAATCATTAAAAACGGCTAACTCAATATTTCTATAGAAGTAACAAAGGTTTGGACATCTATTAGCAAAATCTCGGGGCTTAGGCAATGTTTTTCTGGCTAAAATATTGAGTTAGCCGTTTTTAAAAATCGGTTCAAAACGAGCCGTTTAACAACACTAGTAATAGTGCATTTATCAATAAAAAAAATTACATTCATTTATTATTTTTTTGGAGCTTTTTTTTTTTAGTTTATCCATTTAATTCTTCCATTTTTCAAATTATGACCTATCATTTTTACCATTTTTATTAAAGTAATTTCTACATTTTTGAGTCTTTTTTTTTTGCATTATTTATATTTTATAAAGGGCAAACTGCAATAAAAGCAGAACAAATTTTATACTTCTTTATTAAATTTATTATTATCTTATTTTGTTCTCTTTACTTACTTTATTTTTACATCATATAAAAAAAAAGTTATAAAAAATAATTTAGGCCGTGTTCTAGTCGGATTTAATACTTTTATAGCCGGCTATTTAGCCGTCTTTTAATTATCGGCTAAATAGCCCAAAAAAGCAAAAGAAAAAAAAATTTAGAATAAAATAATATGAAAAATAATAATGCCATCAAATATTTACTTTTTAACTTATATTAAAAAACAATCAAGTATCCAAATTAAGCCGACCTAGTAGACGGCCTTAATATTTTTTTACATCCAAAATATTAATTTTTTTTCCAAAAACATCTCGGGAAAGAATACACCGCACCCGAGTAAAGGTGTTTTGTCGATATACATGGGAACTATATAAAATATTAATTTATTTTTTTAAAAAAATATTAAAAATAAATTAAAATCATAATTTATTAGGTCATATTATAAATCTTAAAATTGCTAATGATCCTTTGAAAACTATCCCCAGGTTTTTTTTATAAGATCTAAAATTTAATTTTTATCGTATAAGTTTTTATTAATATTTTTTTTTATCCTTTTTATATAACGTATTTATTATAAAATTAAGCTTCTATTAATTTTGTTTTCATTTTTGAATAATTGTATAGGCAAGAAAAAGTTACTTTTAAGTGTTAAATTCATATAAATTGTCCAATATATAAAAAATATTTTTTCAAAGACGCAAATGCATAAAAGCGTTAAGTTAGAATTTAATATTCTAGGAGCTCTCGAAGGAATTTTATGCTCATGAGATCCCAGATCTCCAATGCACTATTCGAATAACCCTTTAACCCATTCTTTATTTAGATACTTTTTTAAAATTCTACCAGATACTATAATATGCAAATTCAAGTCCCCATCATATTTATATGTAAAAAAATCTCTCTCTTATAAGTCTAATAAATTCCTATTTAGGGTTGAGGAAAACCATTTTTTAAAAAAATAAACATCATGATTTTTTCCCGAAAATATTACCCTAGCCTCTAGCTTTTATCAAACTTTCTGCCATCTATATTAGCAAACTAGAAGCTTAGATAATATTTATTTGATTTAAAATTTTTAGCCAGCTATTTTTCGCTCTCGACAACAATAAACGAGGTTACTATAAATTTAAACGGGCGATTCCAACGAGTCGCTCTCATATGTGTAACAAAGTGAGAGATAGAGAAAGTAGCCAAGCGTAAGATTTTAGATTTATTTTGATATTTTTAAGATGTAAATAAATATAGGCTCAATAATTATTCTAAATTAATTCGATAATATTTTTAATAAAATGGCAATTGGTATAATAATTAGAATTTAAATATTCAATATATTTCATTTTACAAATGTAAAAGTGATTGTGTGTGAATAATAAATTGTAATAATTAAAAAAATAAGAAGATTTTGATAAGCTGTAGGCGTTGTGAAATTTAGAAATTACACAAACATTTTTAAAATGTTTTAAAATAAATTAAATCTAAATCGATTTGTCTAATTAATTTATTGTAATATATATATATATATATTAAACTAAAATTGGTCCAAATTTGTCTAAACGTTTATATATAATTGAATCATTTTAACCTTTATAGCATTTAATTTAATTCTCTTAAATTTTAAGAAATATCACTTAAATAATTTAATTCTTTTAAAATTTTAAATAAATTCTCTTAAATTTAAACTCTCTTAAATTCCAATATAATGCTATTAAATTCTATTGTATTTATATATTTATTAACATTGCTTGATTCCGTTCTTGGTTATGGACCTCCAAGTAAAAACTATAGATATTAAGTTATAAGAACCAGAACCCATTTTTAAATGTCGTGGAACCTTTTTACATAATTGCAGGCAACTTATGCATATCCTTGCCTGAGAATTATATTATTCTATCTTTTTGTAAATTTGAAAAGCAATTTTAAAAATTAGAGTTTCTATTTTTAGTAGGATGGTTAACCATATTGGCTGGCTATCATTTGACTTATTTTATTAAATTTTTTGGATATTTTTGTTAATAGAATAGTATAATTATAAAAAATTGATTTGTGAATAACCTGATTCTCGGGTGACGATATGTCGTATTGGGATGTGGATGGGATTTTTTTCCCTAAGAATTACATATCCACTATTTAATTCATGTGGGAGTCCCAAAAGTTTATATCATTAACTAAGGGTCATTTTTAAAATTTAAAAATCTGATTTCACTGGACCTATGAATTTCAGAATTTTCGCCATAAAAATTTGTGTAGTGTTGTAACGGCTCGATTTGAGCCGATTTTTATTAACGGCTAACCAGAAAAATATTACACAAGCATGAAGAATTTATTTAGGTTTAGGCAATATTGTTCAGGCTAAATTAATGAGTTTATAAAAATTGGCTCAAATTGAGCCTTTTAACAACACTATGAAAAATCTATATAAAATCATTAAATAAGTTTGGGCTGTTTAATTTCTATTATCTTAAAAATTATGGATTACGTGATATTTTTTAAACATTTAATACTATTTTATTTAGTTTCATGTCCTCCTGGGTGGGTGTTGCTACCAAACAGTTATACTTGCTATAAATTTATAGCACAACCATCCACTTGGTATAACGCAAAAGGTTACTGTTCGTCTTATAAAAATTCCGCTTTAGTCATAATTGATAATGGTCCGGAACTAGTAAAAAAAAATATATTTAATAACAAAATAATTTAGGTTCATGTGTATATATATAATTTAATATCATTTTATGAATAAACAAGGAATTAGTCTCTCAAATTTCCCAAGGAACTGACATATGGGTTGGAGATGAAATTAGGTTTAAATAATATTTTGTTTAAAAAATATTTTATTTTATTTAGTTATCCTAGCCATTCATGCTTAAAACACCATGGGCCAAGTTTAGTTATTGAATCTTGTTACACCTTACTACCCTACGTGTGCGAACTTGATATAAGTATAGATTATATAGATAATTTTGTTTTATTTATCATATTAATTTTTATATAGGTCCCAACCCTTGTCCTATCTTATACCCATATGATCCTATTCAACGTTTTTATTACCCTCACCCAGCTTTGCCTTATAAGTTCATTCAATGTTCCTTGACTAGTATTAACTACGTAATGCTATGTGCTAAAGGAACAATATGGGATCAACGTTTATTGACTTGCATAAGATCCTCTATTTATCCTTCCAAAAAGAAAAGAAATACAGGATTCCGCATATCAAGAGGAGTTGACCACAATGCTCCCATTGCCTATAGGAATGACTATGGCGACGATTTATCTAGTTATTCCCCTATTCCAGATGATGATGACTATAATGATGTATCAAGCTACAAACCCAAAATTAAGGTAATATCCTATGATGAGTCTAGTCCATTTTACAGAACCGATTATGCAATAAAGGCACCAAAGAATTATAAAGATCCTCATTCAAAAGATAGATCATCTTCTGGATATCAAAGTAACTCTTATTCAAAACTTTCTATTCCAGTTCCTAATCGTTATAATGATAATTATCAAGAAATCCGACCTCTGTCCAATCAAAGAAATTATTTTAGATACAAAGATGATAATAACAAAAGATTAAAGTATCAACCAAATCCTTACAACCAAATTAATGTAAACTCGTATGATTCTAATTATGAAAATAATAGGCCATCATATAAGTATAAGGCATCAAGTTATAAGGATACACATCCCGATAATTCTAATTATGATGATAGACCATCATATAAGGATATGGCATCAAGTTATAAGGATAAGCAGCCCGATAATTCTAAGTATCCTGAACATTCCCCCAACTCTTACGAATATTAAAATTTTTATGGATTATTTAAATAAATTATTGTATTTATCTATTGTGTTTCAAAATTTACATTTTGATTAAATAAAATATAAGGTGTATAACTTGGTGCGCATAACATAAATCTTTTAGGCAGTAATCTACCGTATATAATCTAGTAGATTAAGTAATATCGTTAAAAATCACACCTATTTGTAATACAAAAGAGTACAATTTAACTTAAATATTTTTTATCAAAGATATTTGAATTAGAATACTATGTATTAGGTTGGGAAAGATATTGTGAGTGCCTCATCTTTAAATTTAAATCCAGTTTCGCAATAACCGTAAACGCTTAGGTTTATCCGATATAGATCTGTTCAATTTATTTGAGTACTAGTTTAATCATTGTTTTGAATCCCCTATTTGCATTTCTATCATTGTCAATTAGTTTTGCTTAATTAAAAATTGAAGTGGTATATATTTATAACAAAATATTCTAAAATCATCTTCAGATTTTAAAATCTTGGATGTTAATTTATATAATTAAAATATATTACTGTTAAGATTCTTCATCTTATTTTGCCAATTTTAAAGAAGTTTACAATAATAATTGCATTCCGTATTTTTAATTAATTTACTGAACAATCTTCATAATCAGCATAGATCAATAGGTATCGCCTAAATTAAAATATCCGTAGCTAATAGACCATAATCAATTTAAAATAATTCTGGTTAATATGTTTTTTATTCATATTTATTAAAATTTTTAAGTAAAATATCTTTTTCAGTTTCTTTTATAGGGATATAACTTATTTAAAAAAACTATAAAAAAATGCCTGATCTCGTAAATATCATTTTAATCTAATAAAAATTTTCCCTCATACCATTAGGGTGATATGAGCACATGTTCTCGCTGATAGTCGGTAATAGATAACCAGTCTTGGTGAATGAATTGGACATCTGTTTCTTGGTGATGGTAGTTTTGTAAGTTACTGGAACGGATATTTGGTTTTGGTATCGCGAGTTCGCGAAAGAATAATTATTAGCCAACATGGGGGACTGTCTCAATCTGTCTAAGGAATTAACCTCCCTCACCCTCCCTCCTATCCCCAAATAATGTATACAATGTATCGCTATAATGAAGAATTTGAAATTAATAGAACAACTTTTTGAATATGCCCCCCCCCCCCCTTTAAAATCCTGGATACGCGACTTTTGGCTAATATTTATTTTATTTTTTTTCCAAAAATTAGTATACCCTCTAGTCATCTTTACTAATTAAAAAAAAATTCTTTGATCTTTATATAATTTTTCGTTTCATATTTTTTTTTTGGAAAATATAATATATTTATTGCAATGTAACACATAATATATTTGTATTTATATAAAAACAATTTTCTTATATATACAGTTATTTTTACTTGCCGCAATTATTGTAAAAAAAATATTTTTTTGATATAATCAAAAAAAAATTTAATAATTTTGGTTGTCGCAAAAAGCCCATGGTCGATTTTCAAAAATGACCCGAAGATTTTAGCCAAAATAATATTATGTAAGTCGAGATTTAGCAAATAGATATTTTCTGGTCATCTAATGAAGAAAATCTCAAAGTTTACATAATATTATTTTGATTATAATCTTAATCGGGCAGTTTTTTATTTGAGGGATATTTATTATATTTTATATAATTTTTTTTACGTTTATTTTTTTATAATATTAAAGAGGGATTGATTGTTTTTTTTTTGATTAGTTAATTTTTTTATTAAATTTTATGAAGTAGTTGCCTCGGACCCCTCCCCTACTTTGTAGGGCCACTAGAGACCGGGGATAGTTGGAAAACTTTTATGTGGGTTCTAGTTCATTAGCAAATTGGCTAAGGTTTATATTATAGCATTTTATTTTAAGCTGATAAAAATTATTATCTATATGCTTCCCTCATCTCTCTCCCCGTAATAAAATATGTCATTATAAACAATAACTAAAAATATATATAAAGTATAAATAATAATTATTACTTGAAATTTTTCAGAAAAAAAAACATTAAATAAACGAGATCTGCAAAAAGTGTGTCTAAACCTCTAAGATAAATATATAGGTACGCAATACAAAATTCAATACTTTAAGAAAATTTTCACTATGTCTATATCTGAATCTAACCTTCAAATAAATTAAAATACATATGATTCTATGAAAAACATGATGTGGGACAAATCATGCAATTCAAAATAATATAAATAAATAAAAGAAAGAAAGAAAGAAAATGATAATCAATTTTTATATCATCATGAACACAGGATAATCATAATGTGCAAGCTTTTGAAAATCGTTCTACCGTAAATATCGACCTAAACTTATATTTCTTCACTTTCATTACCTATTATTATTATTTCTATTAAATAAATTGTTTATAATTATATATTTATTTTTGCTATTTAATAATTTTTTTTCAAATTTTTATTATACAAGCAAAATATAGGCATGTAATTCCCTGAGACATCATAATTCTTATTACAATATCACTTTTTAGAGAATGTTACACAAAAGCTATATCATGATATTAAATTCGAAATCCTATAACTAATCGTCATTATGGAGACAGTGGTGATCTTAGCCATAACAGTTTTAATGATTATACTTATTTTCGCTGTCATATCTATAGGATTTATACTAAAATACAAATTCTGGTCCAGGTCAAAAAAATATATGAACATTTATTCTGTGTTAGAGGACGAATCACAGGGGTTACATATTTTTTCTTTAAAATAATTACTAATATAAAAAAATTTGATAATGATATTAAATATAACACTTTATTTCGTATATCTTACATATTTATTTTATTTTTTTAACTAGTCATTGGTTTATTTATGAATAGGCTGATATAATATATTATCAATAGGTTTGTCTAAGAAAAAAAATTAATGGAGGTGAAAAATATAAAAATAGAATTTAAGAGAAATGATAAGGAAAAGAGGATGAAAGAAAATAGTATAAAAACTACATAGAAGAAATAAAATTTAGATATTTAGAGTGAATAATGGCGGTAAAAAGTCTGTAAGAAAAGGGAATTCTTAGATTAATCGGGTTTTTCACGAATCCGTCTACCCAATTTTGATACCGAAGATGGTGAGAATGAGATAATGGGTAGGAATGAAAAAGAAATATCTAAACTGTATTTGGTCATTTTTAGGGTTTATGCGAGGGCGAGGGCATCTACGTTGTGGTTAAATGGTGCATTTGGATTAATGCAAATGAAGTCTCAAATGAGGAGCTGCCCCCATGACCAAGGAATTAAGAACATTCTATCAGGACGATTTCCATCGGTTCTAAAAATACCGGTCGGTTCAAGTTTATATGCCGTGGAAAACGGCCTCGCCATCTAATTTGTTAAAACTATTTACAGATTTGAAATAATACACTTTTATTTAGAAATTTATTAAGAGGGAGAATTGTACAGTAAGCCCTCGTTATTGTTAGCCACGAGAGGACAAAAATTTAGTTAAAGGTAGTGTAAGTTTACTATATCCGATAATAATGGTATAATTACGAAAAGAAAATATTACAGTTATTTTTTAAAAATTGCTTTATTCTTGTAAAAATTACAATGCTTATTTTTATGATTTTTTATAAATTTTAGTCTTAAATTGTATTCTTGTGCATTTTTTGGTAAGTATAATAATTTGTTAAGAAAAATGTTAATATATTTTCGACTATTTTTAAATATGGCCCATTCTTTATCCCTAGACTAAAACATTTTGGTTTAAGACTGTTAGTTAAGTGATTTGTAATCCTTTCTCATACTATATTTTTTTAAGCCGTTTCGATCAGTTTTATTATTGTTAATATGATTTTTAAGGTTTAGTTTAAAGTATTTTTTAAAGTTTTTTAATTTCGCGAGTACGAATTCTTTATCAATGAGTGTTTTCCCTATGAAAATTCAGTTCGATTGTCTAGAATCGGATGAAGATGTCGATAAAAATTATGTGTATTGATAGGTTTTATGTAAGACCAATGTTAATAATCTTGGTATAATGATGGAAGGTATAACTTAAATAAATGATATAACAACAATTTTGTTTAGGCGAATTTAAATACTTTAAGAATATTATTATATATTTTTTTAGATATGAAATATTTCTTAAAAAAGATACATAAGAATGGTTAAGCTTTTATTTTGTTTGCAAATTTTGAAAAAATAACTTGCTAATGCTTTTATAATTTTATTTTTAGGGCTATATTAGTAAAAAATGAAAATGAGCCTGATTGGAAAGTAGGAATGATTAAACATGACACAAAAGAGGACTCAATCTCCACCGTATCCGCTGCAAATAGTTCTTCTAATGATCCTAACAGACTTGTAATATCTGAACGACTATTGCAATTCAACGAAACATTTGTGAAGAATCAAAAATGGGCGGAAGAAGTGAGGTATTATAATATTTTTAAATAAAAATTAGAAAGAAAGATAGAAAGAAAGAAAGAAAGAAAGAAAGAAAGAAAGAAAGAAAGAAAGAAAGAAAGAAAGAAAGAAAATCCATCTCTCCTCATCAATATTATACCTATGGCATTAATTCATGGGAATAGAATAAATGAGAAATTATGGATGAAATAATGGAAAGGAATATATGAAAAATGTTTTCTTTTTAAATATTTATATTCTAAAACTAAAAACCAAATAAATATTAACAATCATCTTAGGAGACTGGGTATAAAGTGGCCATAACATTTGACATCGAAATAATAGATTGCAGGGGGAGACCGGGGTTATATGGAAGGTTTTTTGCTCTTTTTTACAATGAATATTACAATAAAAAAGTAAATTAAAAACAAGAAAATCTCAAAAATAGAGCGACGGAAAACATCTAATATTTATTCATCTTCATATTTTTTAAGGGTAGAATAAACATAATTTAATTTCAGAGCCATTGATGAATATTTAAATTTTCCATCTTATCCAAAATTCGTCAATTTGCACTGGAAGCATGATGGGTGTGGCATCGTAAAAAATGACGCTTAATAATTATAAAGGACATTGTATTCAGAGTTGTTAAAGTATCGCGCTACTTTTTTTAAATTATTTAATTTTTTAGCGCGCTACTTTTTTTAAAAGTAGCTAAGTAGCGCGCTACTTCGCTACTTTTAAAAAATATAATGAATGTAAGTATAAACAACATGAAAATTTAAATATAATATCATAATTAATTATAATTTTTATAATTTATTATTTAATTTTGAAATTTAAATATATTTTCAATTTTTAATTTATATTTTCAATCTGTGTTAATAATCTAAAATGGCATCGTCCATGGATATCCAAATCTTTGAAAGTGATTCAGATATGGAAGATTCAATGGAATTAATAGCTCTAATAACGTTTTTCCATTCCCTAAATTTGAAAAATTTTTTAAAATAAATATTAAACAAAATCTGGATTCAAATTCATGTGCTTAAAATGTAAAAAAAATATATCATCAAATCAATCGAGTAGCTATAACCTGAAAAACACCTAAAGGTAAATTGTTATTTTTACATTATAATATTATTTATTTTATTAGACTGTTCACGCCAATTGCTATAAGGAAATAGAGAAACATATAAAAAAATTTGGTATAGGAGAATCTTCATTCAAAAAGAGATACTATCCAAACCAAATTAACTGATAATAAACATGCCAATATTTCACAAAAATTGGTTGATAAAGTTATTGTTGATTTTATTATTGACACAGTTCAGCCAGTGTCTTTGGTTGATAATCCATCATTTACTCTGATGATTAAAACTTTATCCCCTGGAACAACAGCAACAGTTTTATGTCGCCAGACACTTATGAATAAAATAGCCGACAACTTCAAAGTGATGAAAGATGCTCTAATAGTAGAGTTATCATATATATCTTATGTATGTACCACGGCAGATAGTTGGACACATAACAGAAGGTAAAAACTTATTTATATTTATAAATTGATCTGATTAAATATTTTTAGAGCTTATTTGGGAATCACAGGCCATTGGTTAGACCCTAGGACTTTAAAAAGAAGATCTGTAGCCTTAGCCCTTAAAAGGATTATAGGATGCCAGACATATGACGTACTTGCAAATAAAATTATTGACATCCACAAGTCTTTTAGGATTCATAATAAAGTTTGCAAGATGGTTACTGATAATGGGTCTAACTACCTGAAGGCATTTAGGTTATATCACAAATTTATTTATAATATTTATTTTAAGTTATGATTTTTATCAGAATGGAATGGTTATTATTTAATCTATAAAATATTTAGTATTTTAATATTTCACATTATTTATAGAATTTTTATTAACTAAATACACACATATTTTAGTAATATTATGATTATCATAATTTGTATCAAATTATAAATAAGATAGGCTATTGGCGAAGCTGAATATTCTTACTCCAACAAACAGAGAAGAGATTGCCGAGTATCTACCACGAAGACATCCTCAAATAATTTTTTTGAAATTAAAGATGATTTAATAGAAAATCCAATTGATCTTTTTTTTCAATCAAAAAATATTGAGATGAATATTTTTGATAATTTTTCATATATTAAAAATTTATATATGAAATTTAATACCCCCTTGCCCTCAAGTGCTAGTGTCGAGAGATTATTTAGTAAAGCAAAGCTTATACTTTCTGATCGTCGCTCTAGACTTGGGGATGATAATATTGAAATGATATTATTATTAAAATGCAACAAATTAAAATAAATATTTATTTATATTGCTTATTTTTTTATAATTTAAACTAACTATATTTTTATATTTATAAATGTTGATTTTTATATATTATTTATTATACATTTACATTATAAGCAAAAAAAAAATAAAAAAAATTTGTTTCATTTGTTTCTAAATTTTTTTTTATAAAAGTAGCTTAAAAGTAGCTAAAGCTACTTTTGAAAAAAAGTAGCTAATAGCGCGCTACTTTTTTTGACAAATAGCGAAAGCGGTAGCGCGCTACTTTTTTTGACAAATAGCTATTACGGTAGCGCGCTACTTTTAAAAATAGCGTTTAACAACTCTGATTGTATTTATAATTAACAATTCCAAAATAGTAAAATCATGCCATAACTTATATCTAATATGTATGCTAACTACCCCATATGATAAAATTGATAAAATTGGTGCTGTAACTTAGAAATTTTTTTGATGGATCATTTTTGCAAAAGATTGCGAGTCATTTAATTTACAATTACAAGTCACTTTCATATGTTTCATTTGACAAAAAAACCTCAATAAAGTGGTCATTTTAATAAAACTGGTTAATTTAGACAGATAGTAGTATAAATATCCTTTTTAAAAATAGCTAAAACCTCTGTTAAAGGGGTCACTTATGGTCAATTTAAACATTTAGTTACCTTAAAGAACGGCGTTATCTATTTTTTTTACAGCAAAATAAGGTATAAAAAAATCTGCAAATAGCGAAGACTCCAATCTTCGTCTCTGAAACGAAAGGTCTCAAGTTTATATCTGGTAGTTGGCAGGGAAAAATTTTCTCAATTTAAAACTGACACTGAAATAGAATTGGTCGTGCTAGATCGAATTTGAAAAAATCAGATTGGATTTAGTATATCAGAAATAAATTTTCAAAAAATAATCAAAAATGATATTATATAAAAAATTACATAAATTCTTTTATTATATATTGCACATATAAAAATGTTTATAAGGATGGAGATTATAAAAAACTTAAAATTGGTGTTACAAACATATTTATACATATAAAAAATGGGCACGTTATGATATAGAGGACTATTTTCCTATTGCTAACTAAAAACTGAATTTTTTAAAATAATCTCTAAAAAAGAAAGTTTTATAAAAAGAAAAATAAAAATTATATAGGGAAATGTTTTTGGTTAATTTTTAGGGGAAAGGTGAGGGAAGAGATCGGAATAAGGGTAAGTAAATAAAGAATCAGTTAGAGACATCAAAATTTCTTTGATTTGATGATTTGGATTTCTAGTATTTGATGAAAGTAAAAACCTTCTTTGGGGTCCTCTGTTTCGCCACAATTTAATTACCGCCCAGTTTTTTTTTATTAGATCTTGGGCTACTTGAGGATTGCGATCATAATGATAGGATCTACGGGTTGTTCTAGTAATGTCATAATTGGGAGACTTTGATTTGTAAAATTTGATTTTTGGTAAAGTCAGTATGTATTGCGTTTGATGAGTCATTTTTATTTTTATAATTTTATGTTTTAGTTAAATTGGTGAGTCATTGTTATTTTTATAATTTTATGTTTTAGTTTAATCGCGTTAAAATTTTATTTTTAGATTTATAAAAGTTTATTATTGTAAAATTATGATGATAGGATTTAATTATTTATTTGTGATGATTATTGCTTCCCTATAAAAGGGAAGCGAAAATTGTAAATAATCAATTCATTTCTTTTTTGAATTCATTTCTTTTTTGAATTCATTTCTTTTTTGAATTCATTTTTTTTTAAATTCATTTTTTTTTAAATTAATTTTTTTTTTAATTAATTTTTTTTTTTAATTAATTTTTTTTTTAAATTAATTTTTTTTTAAATTTTTTTAAATTAATTTTTTATGATTATTATTAAATTATTGTTTTTTTTTGGTTTTGGATTATAAATTTATTTTTATTGGATTGAAATAAAGTTGGGATTACTCTAAATCATTGTGGTGGAAAATTTTAACAATCGAATAAGAAAAACTTTAGACGGTCACAACGTAATAAGTAAGAATGCATCTATCACATTACAACTGTTTTGTATTTTGTTACAATTAGATATTTGTTAAAATTTGATCGTGCTAGTGGATCGATGCAAGAAAAATCCCATGCCAAGAAACTTGACAGCTTCCCATTAATCTAGTAACTCCGTCAGATCCTTTTTTTAAGTGACCGTAAAAGGAGAAGAAAATTTTTCCATTATTTGTGAGAGTTAATATGCCAAAAGCAAATTGATTCCCTCAAAATAGATTTTTAATGCCGGGGACCTTAAGGAATGCCAGAAATGATTAATGGCAAAATTCTTGCCTGACTTTTTCTATGTAAATTGTTTTAAGGGGTAATGCCGTCAGAATTTTTTATTTCAATATCAATTTTACACTTGATAAAGAGGATTAGTGTTTTCGTTGTCATTTTCGATAGCTTGATTATTATTCGAATATTGAGAATAGATTGAAATGTTAAAAGTAAGTTCCTTGCAATCGAGAAGATTTTTCATTTTGGATGATGGTAATATGTGATAATTACGTTGTAAATTTTATTTTGAAAATTTAGTTTTTCTTTGTTTTTTCGAAAAAGTTATTTTGGAATATATATCATATGTAGGGGAGACTGGGGCTGGTAGAACCGATTTTTGCAAATCGGCTATAACTCCTTGGTTTTTTTTTAGATATTATAGAGAACAATATATGAATCGATACCTATAATTATACTCTCTGTCTTGTAAATATTTTTTAAAATATAATTCTGCCCAACAAGCCCCAACCACCGCAATGGGCTTCCTAAACCATTAATTTTTTTTGTTATAATGAATTGAAATGAATTTTTATTTAATAATTATGATACGTATCGAATAATTTTATTATTTTATTGTTCAAAAGTCATAATATTTTAAATGGAAGCTAATTATATATGTGGTTAATTTAATAAACATTTTGAAAAAATAAGGATCTTAAGGAAAGATTATGATTTCTCAGCATACTAAATAAGCAAGGAAATAGAATTATTAAAAGATATCCAAGACAAAAGGAAACAAGAAGTTTTTATTAAATAGGGGGTAAAAATTTAAGGCCCTGGCAAAGAGGCAAATGGCCAAAAATCAGAAAACTTTAAGACCAAAAGAGACTCAATGAAATGTTAAATTTTTATTCAAAGAAGATTTTAGATGGGAATTATGCTGGAAGGCTGGGATATACTTATAAATGTTCTAGAACATAACCAGGAAGAGTATTCGAATCATTCTATCATTCAAAATTTCAAGTGAAATAAATTTTTCTAACTTTCCCAAACAGATTCTGTTTCTAAAGAATTTCTTTTTCTTTGTGATTAATAAATTATATTTTACTAAATAGGAGAAAGGTGAATGTAAATTATAGTGTAGTAAATTACCTTTATAATAAACTATATTTAATTGCAATAATTAAGATTAAATTTTAAAAAAATCTTATATTCTACTTTATTTTCAAACTTTCCCCATTATTTACAACCCAAAACATAAAAATATCGCCGATTTAAAATTGAAAATACTTTTTTTCAAAAAATAAACGCCAACCTACGGATTTTTTTTTAACATGATTTATAAATTGTACATTAACTTTTGGGTTATATAAGATGGCTATATTTAATTTTAGTAAATGGTAAATAAGCATAATACATTTACCTAATATAAGAGAAAAAAAAAGTTTTATTGTTTGTGCCTTGTAAAGATTTAATCTCTAGCTTATACTACAAGAAAATATTTCGTCATAACAAAAAAATATATATTGAACTAATTTTTCATTACGTATAGAATTTAACAATATAAGTCCCAAATCCTTTTTAACCTACCTATGTTCATTTATTCAATTTGAATAATCCATTAAAAAATTATTAAATTTTTTTTAAAAAAAATTATCCCTAAATACAAAATAGTCATGTTAAACGGTTCGATTTGAGCCGATTTTTTTAAAAGGGCTAACTCAATGTTTTGTTGCCCATAGATGACACAAAGGTTTGGACATCTATTAGCCAAATCTCGAAGTTTATTCAATATTTTTCTGGCTAAAATATTGAATTACCCGTTATTAAAAATAGGCTAAAATCGAGACAACACAAATACAAAATCCTTTCACATGCTTTTGTAAAAATTTGTTTTAAGGCAAAAAATAAATTGGAATATAATTTTAAACAAATTCCGAAAAAGAAACGAATCAACTAATTTCTTTAATCTAGTTTTAAAGAGTTTTCTTTTAAAATCTTTTGATTTAATAACAATTTTTTTTTTTGGAAGATTTATACTCCTACTTTTATTAATTATATAATATTATAAATTTGATAAACTAAAAATGAACTTTCGAAAAAATATTGCCTAAGTCTCGAGATTTATAATATATGTTTAGACCTTTATTTCATTCTATGAACAAAATCTTCAGGCTTTGTAATATTTTTATGGATGAGTTAGCCGTTTTTAAAAATCGGCTTAAAAAACGAGCTGTTTAATAACATTAGTTCATGCCATACTTTGGTGTATGCCTATTGACCATTAAAATTTGACTTTCATCTAAATTATCCAATTAATAAAAATTATAGAATAGAGCGAGGAAAAACAGATTCACTTATCTCAGAACTACCCTTCATCCAATCTGAGCTATATTTGACCCAATATCGCCATAAATTGAAATAAAATATGAACGATATATTTGTGTTAAATAATAACCCTCATTTTATAAAATTAATTTTAATCGATAAATAATGGATTTTTTACCATAAAATAAATATAATTATTTTAGTACAATTTACAAGTTATTTATTATTTTATATATCAATATTATCAAATAAATCGACTATCATTAAATTATATATATAAATCCACATTGTTCCAATATATTCCTTTAATATACAAATCCTCATACCGTGAATTAGTTTCGTAATTCAACAAAGATAAAAACACTTCATATTAGTGAGTTACTTCTGGCCTTATTTTTCATACCCGGCCCGAATTTTTTTTGAACGTTGCGAAAAACCCGACCCGAAATAAAAATAAAAATTAATTGTCCGCCCGTGCCGGCCCGAATTTATTTAAATATAGATAAATTTAATATATTTTTTGATCGTAAAAAAAATTTAAAGCCTGTTTCCTGAAAGAATATTAAAATATATTAATTTGTTTCACAAAATATAATTTTAAAATAGCACGACTCAGCCCGCCCGGCCCGAAACCCGTTCGGGCCAGGTATGAACCGGCCGTGATTTGAGGATCTCAACTTCATATACCCACTCCAATTAATATTTAATGAATTGAATATATATGGCATTTTCATTTCTACGTTGTACTTTGATTATTATAGTCTCTTTCTATCAAAATATAAAGTAATAATTATCATATCTGTTTTTTTATACTATAAAATCCTTGTAATAAGTATGAGAGATTTGCAGAATATCCGAGGTTTCATGTTTAAATTTATTTGTCTGGCGCTCGTATATGACTCATTACCTGGGCTGTACTTTAAATAGGACGAAGCTTAAATTCAAAACGCAAACATTAAATTCAAAATGTGTTAAATTATATTAGTAATTTTTTGAAAAAAAATACATAATTTCATTAAGCAATTTGATGCCACACTGTCTTAGCATATTGAAGCTTTGCCAAAATATAACCCGTCGACTTGTGTCCGGTAAGTACGGAGAATGTGACAAGGATGACATTTCTCTCTGCTATTCGAGCTTTTCTCCTAGACAAATTGACAGCGCGTCTGATTATTACAAACCAAATAGTAAATCATCGAACTCGGTTATAAATGAAGAAATAAAATCCGAAAGTTTGTTTTCAACGTTGGAAAAAAATTTGAGCAAAGAACAAAGAGCCGAAATAGTCATAATCACAAGAGCCATCGGCCCGAGGGTAGATGATGTGGTGAGAGCTATGTACCCTCCTTTGGATCCGAGATTACTGGAGGCCCGGTATGCCAAACCTTAAGCTTTATTGATGATGTTTTATATTAAAAGATAATATGTTTATTGCTTTAAAGTTTAAATTAGTTAATCTCTCAACATTTCTAGTAAATGTAATTTAACTTAACCATTTTAAGCGAAATTATATGTAAAGCTACTTACCTTCATATGTTTTATATATAAACAATTTTTGCAAAGATTATATTTTTTTTTACTGAAATTATATAGAAAAAACATCATGTAATTAAGATTTAACCGAAATCAGGATTATACTTCACTGATTCGCTTTTTTTAGATTTAAAAATAATTCATATTGAAAGTCTTTTTTTGGCCTTTCAGACAGATTTATAGTAAAATTTTGGTTAAATTTAATTAATATACAAAAATGCAGGGAATTAAAATTTATTTAAGCATTCATTGCTAAATTTTATGAAATTTATAGGGTTTCACTCAATAATAAAATCTTTCAAAATTAAAGGAAGTCATCATCCACAAACGATTTAAACTTTAAAGATTTATTTCTACACTACTGAATTCACTAAATATTCAATTCTATGACATAATATTGGCTTTAAATTTATTCAAATACACAATATATATTTATAGATTAACGTCTTTATACCTAGCGGTTTGCCATTTGGTTTACGTTACCAATAAATCAATGTCCTCAGAATTTCAAAATGAAATTGCTATGCAAAAACATTGGCTAAATCAGAGCATACTACGTATCGAAGATAATTTGAAGGTTTATTTGTTATATGTCTCTCTGTGTCTGAACCTTAATAGCTAGGCACATATTTATTAAAAAAAAATAACCATAGGTATTTAGCATGTTAATAATATATTTTTTGCATATATATAGGTTTTGAGAAAAGTATCACTAGCTTTTGACACCTGCATACAGCTACAAAACTTGAGTTATGCTACCGAAAATTTTCGCTACGATAAAATTGGAAAAAATTTTCCTAATCAAAATATAGCCGTGATTAGTTTATAAATGAACGATCATAGTTTATTTTCTTCTTCACCATATTCTAAAAACTTAGAGTGAAACAAATGAATCAAAAACTTTAGCTATATTTTTTAAATATTATATAAACTAATTTTTATAATAATTAGTCCCATCCCTCCTATCTCCAGAATACCCTGAAATTTCAATATTGCAAAATTTATAGGAACCCCTTCCCCATATTTTTAGAGATTGGAAACCCAGCAAATTCCATTTTATTTCGGGAAATTTTTAATCGGAAAATATAGAAAACACATTTTATTATGTTCAATGGAAATAAAAAAATCGCCAATTTCGCTTTCCTAATAACAGAAAAATTTTGATAAAATGATGTATCGTATCCTATTTAGTTCATTTCTTAGAATTTTTTTTAAAATTCGAGCCTTGTCAGAGCTTTATTTAAAAAAAAAATTAAGCTCTAACCTGGCCCGTACGAATAGTTTTTATTGACTTGAACGCTCTATTCGAGGGTCCTTTTTAAAATATTAAAAACTTTATTTACATAGGTATTTCTATATTTCTTTGAGGCAATGATTAGATTATTACATGATTTAATTCAATATAATCGAAAAATATGGTAAAAAATTGTAATTTAAGAATAATAAGAAAAATAATTTCGTTATAATAATATAAAAAGAATGAACGACAATAATAGTTATAATTAAGATAAATCGTTGGGGAAATCGATCAGCTTCTTTAGGAAAAATCATCGGGATTTAAAGCTACCCTATTTTTTTTTTTAATTTGATATATTTATTTTCTAGTAGATTTCAGAAAACTTTAACTAAAAGTACTATCCAAGTTTATTAGACCAAAGAACTCGTGAATATTTGAATAAATATTCTCTTATATAAAATATAAAAAAATGATATTAGAAAGTCTTAATGTAGAAATATGATAATATTCCAAGGCAACTATTATTACATTTTAATAATTTAAGGGTTAGTTAAACAGAAAAGGAAACAATTGCACGCCCAAAAAAATTAAAAAATTAAAAAAGCTGTAGCTAGTCTATTAATTTCATGAAATTTAAAAATCAAAGACAGAAAGATATTTAAATCCATTAAATCTATTTTATCATTGTGCCATAAAAATTTTATTTTACGATTATATGAATTATTATAGAGCAATATATGATCTTCTAATAATTCTTGTTCAACTAGGCACGTACGCGGAGGGGTTGAATAATTAAATTTATTTACAAAAATTATTCTAGGAGTTATTGAATAACTTAAGTTTCATAAATTTATTAAGACTTAGTGATTATGGCTCGATTTAAGCCGATTTCTAAAAATGCCAAACCAATACTCTATCCAGAAAAATTTAACGCAAGTCTGAAGATTTGGCTCATATATGGCCCAAATATTTGGACATTTATTAGTGGGCTTTTTGCGAAAACCCGCCCTTTGCAGAAATCTAATTTGGACATCTATTTGCGAAAACTTGAGGATTGGTCAATATTTTTCTTAATATTAAAAATCGGCTCAAATCTAGCATTTAACAACACTACTTTTTAGGTATCTTTTATTATTGTTAAAGAAAATGTTCTTTTATTGGTAAAGAAAAATATAATTTGTATACATTAGGAAAATAGTCTGAAATTATGCAAAGCATCTATAGCAATTTTGGAGGACATTTCCTACCATATTTATTTATTTAACCTTTCATAATTTGTATTAAACTAGTAATGCATCGTGGGATACTTTAGCATCCTCACAACAAAATAGATATGAAATAGATTCGGAAGGGTTCTGAGGTAATAATATATGCTGATTTGTAAGTACTGCCTGATTAATTAAGAATTTATTTTTAATTTTTGGAAGGTAATTACGCCAGACCTTAAAAGGGGGTATTTATTCAAGTAAGAAGGGAATAAAGAGATTTATTCTATAGTATTCTTTGACTGACCCTATATTAATATTGGAATGATAGGCTTGCCTTGCTACGAGTCGAGGTAAATACCCCCACATCGCAGCATTAAGCGCCTGCGTTAAACCCCTTCCTTGATGTTCCTTTAAAAATTTAGCTTCCAATGCCAACTAGTTTAAAAAATTAAAATTATATGAAAAACAGTTAGTTCTAACAAAAACATCCATAATATCTAACATTAATACGAAAAAAATTTGGTTAGTAGGAAATATATATCTAAGATTTTCAGTAAAAAAAAAATTGACCTGGAAAGATTTTCTTTCGAGGCATTTGAGTTTTTATTTTGAGGAGTTTTTGAAGTCCTTAGGCTATTTCTAGCTCATCATTATATTTTGTATTTAATAATTTGATGTAAGTACACATTTACAATGAACGTGAATTTGCGCTAGCTATGAATTAAGGGTTAGGTGTATTTTTAGGATATAATCCGATGTCAAGATTTATTATTATAATAATATATAGTGTTCAGGGTGCTATTCTGAATAGAAATCAGTTAATAATAAAAAATAGATCTAAACAGGAGGCGACTCTGTTATATTTGTTAAAAATATCCTTTTCCATAGTAGGGGGAAACACCCCATTCTGGCTATCAATTAACATTAGTTAATATCTACCTTATGATTTCAATAATATTTAGCTATATATTTTTATTTATTAGGAAACTTTAAATAAATAAAAATTTTGTATTTGGATGCGATTATAAAAATATCTGTAACTATATGTATTTTTGGATATATTTTGACATAATTTTAATTTAAGTTTTTATCATAACAAATATAATATTTCAATTCTTCATTAAAAATTTTATTTTACGCTTTGATGACGCCAACATGGTAAATTTTAAATTATAATTACATTTAATAAATATTCATATATACAATATTTTTTTAATAATGTACCCAAAATCAATTATTTAAAATATTGAATTTCCCTTAGTCAATTTATAAAACCTACTTTAGAATAAAATGTCAAAGTATAACCATAAAATTCCTTCATAAAATGTTTGCCGTGTCTTTCATTTATTATTCCAATATTCAACATTGTAAACTACTTAAGAAGAAGAAAAACCGAAGGGCAAACTATGAAAACTCATAATTCTTTTATATCATATGCTCAATTTATTATATTAATTTACTATATATTTATTTATATTATTTAAATATTATTATTTATCTTTAAAAGATATACTAACAAATGTGATTATTTTTTAAATTGACATATTAATGAAATTATATATTAATAATTCTAATATTATTTATTATTTTTGGATAAAACATAATAGGCTTTTATTGAAAATAAAAAAGCAGAAGTAAAATAAAGTAAATAAAGAAAATCCTGATTTAGGCTATTCACCGACATTTTCATTATCAAAAAGTCACCTATTGATAATTTTGTAAAAAGATCTTAAATCATAACCCAAGCACTTTTAGAAGATTTAACAACTAATTTTGTCACCAATAGTAATGTACTGAGCCATTTTCAATTCTCTTTCTTTATTCTTTCTTTCCTTTCTTTCTTTAAATTCCTTATATTAAAATGACAAAATACTACCCCCCCCCCCCCACCTCAATAAAAATACAACTTGCCTAGAAACATTGATAGAATTTTCCAGAGTTGTTAAACGCTATTTTTAAAAGTAGCGCGCTACCGTAATAGCTATTTGTCAAAAAAAGTAGCGCGCTACCGCTTTCGCTATTTGTCAAAAAAAGTAGCGCGCTATTAGCTACTTTTTTTCAAAAGTAGCTTTAGCTACTTTTAAGCTACTTTTTATAAAAAAAAATTTAGTAACAAATGAAACAAATTTTTTTTATTTTTTTTTTCTTATAATGTAAATGTATAATAAATAATATATAAAAATCAACATTTATAAATATAAAAATATAGTTAGTTTAGATTATAAAAAAATAAGTAATATAAATAAATATTTATTTTAATTTGTTGCATTTTAATAATAATATCATTTCAATATTATCATCCCCAAGTCTAGAGCGACGATCAGAAATTATAAGCTTTGCTTTACTAAATAATCTCTCGACACTAGCACTTGAGGGCAAGGGGGTATTAAATTTTATATATAAATTTTTAATATATGAAAAATTATCAAAAATATTCATTTCAATATTTTTTGATTGAAAAAAAATATCAATTGGATTTTATATTAAATCATCTTTAATTTCAAAAAACAGATCTTCTTTTTAAAGTCCTAGGGTCTAACCAATGGCCTGTGATTCCCAAATAAGCTCTAAAAATATTTAATCAGATCAATTTATAAATATAAATAAGTTTTTACCTTCTGTTATGTGTCCAACTATCTGCTATGGTACATACATAAGATATATCTGATAACTCTACTATTAGAGCATCTTTCATCACTTTGAAGTTGTCGGCTATTTTATTCATAAGTGTCTGGCGACATAAACTGTTGTGCCAGGGGATAAAGTTTTAATCATCAGAGTAAATGATGGATTATCAACCAAAGACACTGGCTGATCTGTGTCAATAATAAAATCAACAATAACTTTATCAGCCAATTTTTGTGAAATATTGGCATGTTTATTATCCGTTAATTTGGTTTGGATAGTATTTGTCTTTTTGAATGAAGATTCTCCTATACCAAAATTTTTTATATGTTTCTCTATTTCCTTATAGCAATTGGCGTGAACAGTCTAATAAAATAAATATTATTATAATGTAAAAATAACAATTTACCTTTAGGTGTTTCTTCAGGTTATAGCTACTCGATTGATTTGATGATATATTTTTTTTACATTTTAAGCACATGAATTTGAATCCAGATTTTGTTTTAATATTTATTTTAAAAAATTTTTCAAATTTAGGGAATGGAAAAACGTTATTAGAGCTATTAAGTACATTTTCTTCCATTGAATCTTCCATATCTGAATCACTTTCAAGGATTTGGATATCCATGGACGATGCCATTTTAGATTATTAACACAGATTGAAAATATAAATTAAAAATTGAAAACATATTTAAATTTCAAAATTAAATAATAAATTATAATTAATTATGATATTATATTTAAATTTTTATGTTTATACTTACATTCATTATATTTTTAAAAGTAGCGAAGTAGCGCGCTTAGCTACTTTTAAAAAAAGTAGCGCGCTAAAAAATTAAATAATTTTAAAAAAGTAGCGGCTATTAGCTATAGCTACCAAAAAAGATAGCGCGCTAAGTAGCGCGCTACTTTAACAACTCTGGAATTTTCGAATGATGGGAAAATAAAGCATTTTTGAACTACAATTATTAAGGGAAAATTATATCTATATCTAGCATTTGGGTATGTTTTTGAAGATTTTGCTCAAGAAAAGTATTTTTTGACCACTCCACAAATTAAATTAAAATATTTTAAATTTACAGAAATTTTTTTTGATAAATAGTAAATATATTTCAGAGAAATCAAATTATCAAAAATTAAAGAGCTTTAATAGATTGTGTGTTAAAAATTTGTTAAATAAAACCCAGATTTCTTCCTACGATATATTATAAATTATTGATTTATTAAATATTATTATCTATATTTAAATTTCTGCAATGGATAGTGGTAAAAAAAATTTTAAAACAATAAATTTAAAATAATATCCAATCTTATTGAAACACATCAAATTCTAAACTTATTTTGCTATCGACAATGGAAGTGATCAGTTAAGTTAATGATGTTTAAATTCGTGATGAAACGATATAAGCTTTCCATAAGCCTTAAAATTCATAATAAACATTCTATTAATAATAATCTAAACATAAATGTAATGATTAAATTATATTAAATTTAGTAGATTTTTTTTATAATCAAAGTCTTTATTCAAATTCTTTTAAAGTTGTAAACCCTAATACAAAAAAAACCCATACATTTGTTAAAATTTTATCCCGCAAATGCAATAATCACAAACCATATTTGTTTTAATTAGTGTTTTATATAATAATAATTAAATCCATAATTTAAATATATTGAAAACGATAATATATATAAATTAAAATTTTTCAATGTTCAATAGCAGTTTCCTCTCCTTTTGGTAGAATTTTTTTAACTAAAAAACAATTTAATAACTTTAATGAGAGTGAGAGAGTTTATTGGCTATTCACATTATGTTCAAATATGCAATGTGTTAATATGCATGATGCACATAAATTATTTAATTAAATGACTTATTTAAATATTTCACAAGCAGAGTTCAATTTTTGTATAGCTAAATCAGAGATCTACAGGCCTGGCCCTAAGCCCGACTCGTGAACACGGGCCGAATAAGCCTTTTTAAATATACCCGAACAGGGCCTAAAAAAATTTTAAAATAAGCCGGGCAATATGTTATAAAAACCTAATATTTTAAATAGCTATATAAAAATTTTTACAAAATATATATTAAAAAATCCGGGCCGGGCCGTGTAAAATAAAGTAACTCTGAAGGCCTCTGAGCCAAATTATTATAATTTAATTAATAAACTAAGCTTCCAACACTCATAAATAAATATTTACCTGAGAATGAAGATTTTTTGATGACACCTTTTAATAAAAAGTTTGAAAAAACTTTAACTATATTTGGTAAAATGTCTAAAACACTGATATAATTGAAATGAACAAGATTTTCTAAATAAAATAACATTCGGGTTTATTTAAAATATTCGTTAATTCTTTAAAATATAATTATTTTATAACTTTAATATCCTATTTGAGCCCTATTTTTTTTTATACCTTCAAATTTATTCCTGTCTATATTGTAATAAAGAGAAGGTGTAAAATAATCTTCCAACTCGATTAATTGTTTATTTTGTATATATAATATGAAGTGAATAAAAATATTTTTTTAAGAAAAGTATTTGTGTACCTTTTTTCATAGTAGACGACTCTTCTCCAGATTCGGATATTGGTTCTATCAGATGTCAAGTAATAAAATATGAGAGAAAGATTTTAAAATTATTTTTCTAAAATTAAAGTAATACTTATAACAAATATATTATTTATTTTATTCTTAGATAAGATAGTATTACATTAGTTTTTATGTAATAAAGAATAATCCACAATCCTCCCACGGTGATTAATTATTCTTTCAATTATAAATTATACTAAAGAGGCGATTCTTAAATTTGAAAATCTGATTTTAATCGAAAATAAATTACAACAGGGATTGATGTAAATCACTGCCTGGTCCGATACTTTTTAAAGATAATTTCGGTTCAGGTCTAATATTTTTTTTAAAAAATTCGGGCTAAGTAAGATATTATTAAATTTTAAAATTGATATATTTTTTATATTCTTGCAAGAAACAAGGCGTTAATAATTTTTTTATTTGTAGAATAATTTTTTTTTACAATAAAAAAAAATAATTAAATTTTTCTATATTTAAATAAAATTCGGACATGGGTCAACAAATAATTTATATTTTTATTTTCATATCAGACTTTTCGTAAAAAAAAAATTTGGGGCAAGTCGGGAGAAAGATTAGGCTTGGTGCAGATCACTATTAAATAATATATATGTACCTATCTTGCATATTATAAAGAATTTATACTGAGAAAAATTTTAAATATTTTTAATTTATATTTATAGATTGTTTTATATAAAATTTTAAAAAATAACAGAAAGATATATAGAAACATTGTCTAAAATTTTTAGAACAATACAAATGCTGGAATTTGTTTCTGGCAAAATTAGGTCTATTTTCGCATTATAAATGGCCTTGAGTAAATGGTTATGAGAATCCTAATCACCATGGGAGGATTTTTTACATATCGATAAATAATTGAGAATAAAATTAAAAGAAAAGAATATATTAAGAAAAAGTATAGTTTTAAATAAGCGTTTCTTTAAAATTATATTTATACATTTTATGATTAGATTTATTTAGTAATTTAAATTAAATATTTATACTTATTGTGACAATTTATTCTATACATAAAAAGTTATACTAAATGCACTTTAATTTAATTTTTATTATAGTGATGCAGTAACTTTTGTAGTAATTTTGTTGCATGTTTAACCTTACTGCGTCTAAAACGGCAGAATATTCGTTGAAGGTAAACCTTCCTCAATAACCATAGCACCCTAAAAATGTTTCACCACCTTCGGCGGCAATACTCTAACATTATTAATTACTTAATTATGTAATCCCTTCATATATTTTTAACTTAAATACACCAAACCATCAAAAAATTGTGAGTATAACAGAATAAACTTTTAATAAAATAAGAATAGTATTATAAAAATAATAATATACCCTTTTCTACTTCTAAATTAAAAAATAATATAAATATATATGATGGTAAATAAAAATAAATAATATATATCAAATTATATTTGCTTATGAGCCTCACCCACTTCCATTTCCCTATCTATGGATATGATGAAGTTATTAAGAGAGACTTAGGGGGTTAAAAAAAATACCGTTAACTTAAATTATATGAATTTTTGATATATAAAGGCGTATGAGTTAGAGATCTGCGTACCCGGCCAAAACCGGTCTAACATTTTTTAAGAAAATTCGGGTCGGGCCTTATAAATTTTTTAAAATATATCTAAATTTATCAATTTAATGTTGAATTTTTTATGTAAAATAAAAATATGTGATATATTTATAGAAAGTAGACGTCAAATAACTATATCGTTTATTTTGAGTAATTATAAAAATTAATTCCTATATTTAAATAAATTCGGGCCGGACCGGGCAAAACTTTATAAAATAAATTTCGGGCCGGGCCGGGCTTTAAAAATTAGGCCCGATGCAGATCAATATGAGCAACTCTCTGTAAAAACTTTAAAAGAATTATATTATTATGCCATATGGTGAAAATGCAGAAATAAGTATTTTGAGAAATAGTGTCTTTTTAATGATAATAATTATGAATTGAGGGAAGAGCTAACATATTTAATTTGAGGTTGATAAAGTTCAGGAGTACCAATTAGAATCCCCTTATGTTAGAAAGAATATCGGAAAATTGACGATGGTATTTCAGGCAAAATAAGGGTGATCGATAAATATGACAAATTTATAAAGCTGAAGAAGCAAGGCTGTGAACCAGAACTCTTTAACCTTTAATATTTTAGTAAACTAACCCTTTTTTAAAAAAAAATTTAGGGTTCAGGGTAGTAACAATACCTCTTTTGAAATATTAAATTTTTTTATAAAACTATATTATAAATAAATATAAAAGACATGCAAATTATTTTAAAACATATATAATATAATTTTTTCTATTTACTATATAAAAATATTTTTTGGTGAAAAATAATTTTCCACGGAATCTTTTTTTATTATATTTTAGAATACTATCATTTCATTAAAATTTTACCAACATATTTTTTTAATTATTTTTTAAAAATTATATATAATAGTATAGAATTAACGTTAAAGGTATGATTTTTTGTATAATTATTTTATATTAAAGTATTCACCTATATTCAAAAATAATATTTTATGGATAGAGGTGGTACATTTTTTAAAGGGTTAATTATTAAATAGTCATGGAAAAAAAATGTGTAAAAGGGCATGGTGAGAACTTTTGCATCTCTTAGGAAAAAGAAAACCTGGATATAACCTCTGGAGAAATAACGGAATTCAAATGAATGGAGAATGATAATCCGGTGAATGAGATAATAAATGGAAGAAGACTTAAGTATTATAGCAATATTCTGCAATTAATTTAGTTTAATAAATAGTACGATATAAATTCTCACCGTCATATTTTTGAGGTTCTGCGTCTCCTGTAAAATATAAATATTAATAAATTTAGGAGTTTCCATGAAAAAGACGTTTTTATTAAAAAATTATCATAAGCGTGGCATTATATTGTCCATATAAAGTTTATTACTACTTACTCCAATATCGATCTTTTTGGTCTTTAGCATAAATGTAAATAATTTAATTATATTCTTTAAATTAAAACCAATTACTAAATGTAAATTATTACTATTTAATAGATAATTGTTAATGATCTCATTTTTTAATTTTTTGATTTACTTATTTTAAGATATATGATTTTTTTTAGTTATTCCCTTATTTTAATTTTATATTCTAAATTATTTTCATATAAAATTATAGATTATAATTGATTATAGCGAAAAAATTTAAAAATAATACAATATATTATTTTTCATAAAATTTTTAGTTTTTAAATTTTTATCTGACTTTAAACAATATTCATTTTTTAAAAATTTATGTAAGATGTGCTAAATATTTATTCAAAATAAGCTTCCCTAGACTAAACAAATGTTATATGGGAGTGCTTTTTGTAAGTGAGACATTAAATTTAATAAACAGCAACTTTAAAATTTCGAAAATCAATGAATATTTTATATTTATTTTAATAATTAATTTGAAGTAACTAGTTAAGTTTTGTCGCTTTTCAAAAATAACCCATTACAGTTGTTTTTTTTTCAAAATCTATACCTAAAACAACACTATTAAAAATATATTTAAGAATCTATCATTACCTTATCTTGTTAAATTGAATTATTTGATAAGATTAATTTTATTTTAATGGATTATGACATGTGATTTGGGAAGGTTAGCATTGATTTTTAAGAGGTTCGTGTATATAAAATTAGTAGCTTTTATGTATTTTACTGTCGATATAAATGACATCGGATGGCCAGGTAACTTGAAAAAGTTAAATAAATGAAATAGTACAAAAAAAATGTGTTTTGTTATAATATTTATGATGAATGAATATAATTCTTGGATATTTAAGAAAGTAAATAATATTCTCAATGGCATCAGGTATATTCACGCGAGGATTCAGACTCTCTCAATTTTCATTTTAGGAGGAAGGTTTTAAAAATCTAATTTTCTACAGAAGTTGTATTTCAGATGGTATAGAGTATATTTACCCTGTAAATTTTTAGATAATTGGGTAGTGAACTTTTGAACTACATACTCTTATTTTTACATTAATTTTATAAATAAAGGGATTTTTATATAAAAAAAAATACAGAAAAATTAATGTAGGAATTGTCTAAAATTTATATGGCTGATATCAATTTCTGTGAAAACTTACTTGAAACTGAGATATTCTAAATCCTAGCGTGAGGTATCTGAATACGTCGTTTTTCTAAGAGAAAAAAAATATGGAATCTTAAATTAACTATGAATATCATGGTAATTGCTCCGATAGATACATATACAATTTAAATAAAGTTTTAACAAGTATTCCTCAATTATTAATAATAAAATATCTTATAAATTACTTGAAATTCTACCTGAAATACATTAGATACATAAAATGATATATTATTATTTATCATCTTTGTTCTCTGTAAAAAAAATTAAATAAATTTAAAACTTTTGACGTTTCAAAAATAATCGCATGAATTCTAATGAAAGGAAAGAGTGTAAGGATCATATATACTTTTATAATTTTATGCTATTCTTTAAAATTAAAAATAAAATAGGCCAATATATACAAAATTTATTTGGTAATTTAAATTATCAGAATGAGGCAAATAAGGGATGTTTTGTATTATTTTTTTACGAACGTATAATAATATAATTTAAATGACATTTTAACAGGTATTTTCCTAAATTATTAGTAGTAAAGTATTTTATATATTATATTATTAAATCGCTATAATATTCACTTAGAGGTGTTTCAAAGAATCCATCTCCTGAAAAACATTTAATACATTAAAGTTTATATACTATTATTGAAAATAATTGATTCTCTGTAAATATTAAATAAATTAAAACTTATGGCGTTTTACAAATAATTGAATGAATGTAATATGAAAATAAAATTGCTAAATATTTAAATAAAGAATGAAATTAAGTTGTATAAAAAAAATTAAAATAGTGGGAAGAGGGTATGGAGAATAAAGAGAAAATAAAGAAAGGAAAGGGAGGAAGGTAAAGAAGCAATTTTATATGTAAGAATTCTGCCTTGTATTATATGCTTTGGCCAATTTTTTAGGCTTAAAGCTTGAAAAATAGTCTAATGTATGATTCATTTCGGATATTAGTTAAAATAGAAATCAAAATTAATATTAGGTAATAAAGAATTACGACAATGAATCTTATCCAAAGCTACTGAAAAATTAATTCGTCTTTCTCATGAAAACCCCTAGTTCTTGATTTCTTATAGAAATTAAAGAATATAGTTATAATTAAGAGAGGCGAAGAACAAGATCATATAGCTAAGTTAAATAGGGATCGTGGTTGAATTATTATATTTTAATTTAGAAGTCAAAAATCACTGGTAAATATAAGGTAGCAACGATAAAGTCATATAAAGAAATGTGGTTGCAATGGGTTGGCAACATCAGAGTTGTTAAACGCTATTTTTAAAAGTAGCGCGCTACCGCTTTCGCTATTTGTCAAAAAAAGTAGCGCGCTATTAGATACTTTTAAGCTACTTTTTATAAAAAAAAATTTAGAAACAAATGAAACAATTTTTTTTTATTTTTTTTTGCTTATAATGTAAATGTATAATAAATAATATATAAAAATCAACATTTATAAATATAAAAATATAGTTAGTTTAGATTATAAAAAAATAAGCAATATAAATAAATATTTGATATGGAAATGAATCATTATTAATTAGAATTACTTCTGTATACTCTTTTATAAAAGTATGCTCTTCATCGTTAATATATTCAATTTTAACAAGATCACAGAGATAATTAATCTCTAATCTTCTTTCCTCCAGAAAAAAAGCGATTAGTTTTATTGCTTGGTATACAGAATTCCATCTTGTACGATTAGGGGTTAATAAATACCTCCCTAATTTTTTTTTAAACATGTTAGAACTTTTAGGAGATTTGTTCTGCTTATTCCATAAAGTTTGACATAAAATGTCGATCTTGACACCCTTTTAAAATCTTCATCATTTAAAGCTCCTTCAGCATCTACTGTTGCTATCAAATTTAAATTATGACAGGAGCATCTCTGATGGCTGGGTAACATTGTGGAGTTAGTTGAAGATCCTATAGAATATTGATTAAATTAACATGTATTATAAAATAATTTAAACCTTCTTCTAAGATCTCATTAATATCATTGGCATCAACACCTATTTCCTCCTCTTCCAATGCATGTTGACTATCATTCTGTATCTCATCTTCAGCATTATCCTCACCAAATATTCTATATTCATATTAAATAGGACAAATTAAATTATTCATCCAGTTTTAATAGAAATGTCTAGTAATATTTATCAAAAATGGTGTGGAAAAATCATTTCTTAGTATTCTAAATTTTGAACCTCAAGAATTATAATGTAACTAAGCAAAAATATTTTATCAAATGAATACATTGAATGAATTCCCTGTACTGTATATAAATTGATGGCAATTAATCAATAAGAAATAAATATAGTAAAAATCTAATCATCCATGAAATATTCAATAACCATATCTTATTAAATGTTAGATTAGCTCAATGACACTGTACAATAAAAATTAATGAAATAATCCACCTCTGTTTTATATTTTATTAGTTAATTTCACTAATTTTATTTATAATTTGATATAAATTATGATAATCATAATATTACTTAAATATGTGTGTATTTAGTTAATAAAAATTCTATAAATAATGTGAAATATTAAAATACTAAATATTTTATAGATTAAATAATAACCATTCCATTCTGATTAATTTACTGCCCAAAAAATCATAACTTAAAATAAATATTATAAATAAATTTGTGATATAACCTAAATGCCTTCAGGTAGTTAGACCCATTATCAGTAACCATCTTGCAAACTTTATTATGAATCCTAAAAGACTTGTGGATGTCAATAATTTTATTTGCAAGTACGTCATATGTCTGGCATCCTATAATCCTTTTAAGGGCTAAGGCTACAGATCTTCTTTTTAAAGTCCTAGGGTCTAACCAATGGCCTGTGATTCCCAAATAAGTTCTAAAAATATTTAATCATATCAATTTATAAATATAAATAAGTTTTTACCTTCTGTTATGTGTCCAAATATCTGCCGTGGTACATACATAAGATATATCTGATAACTCTACTATTAGAGCATCTTTCATCACTTTTGTAAGCTATTTTATTCATAAGTGTCTGGCGACATAAAACTGTTGTCATCATAGTAAATGATGGATTATCAACCAAGGACAATGGCTGAACTGTGTCAATAATAAAATCAACAATTACTCAGCCAATTTTTGTGAAATATTGGCATGTTTATTATCAGTTAATTTGGTTTGGATAGTATTTGTCTTTTTGAATGAAGATTCTCCTATACCAAAATTTTTTATATGTTTCTCTATTTCCTTATAGCAATTGGCGTGAACAGTCTAATAAAATAAATAATATTATAATGTAAAAATAACAATTTACCTTTAGGTGTTTCTTCAGGTTATAGCTACTCAATTGATTTGATGATATATTTTTTTTTACATTTTAAGCACAGGAATTTGAATCCAGATTTTGTTTTAATATTTATTTTAAAAAATTTTTCAAATCTAGGGAATGGGAAATCATTATTAGAGTTATTAAGTACATTTTCTTCCATTGAATCTTCCATGTCCGAATCACTTTCAAGGATTTGGATATCCATGGGCGATGCCATTTTAGATTATTAACACAGATTGAAAATATAAATTAAAAATTGAAAATATATTTAAATTTCAAAATTAAATAATAAATTATAAAAATTATAATTAATTATGATATTATATTTAAATTTTCATGTTTATATTTACATTCATTATATTTTTTAAAAGTAGCGAAGTAGCGCGCTACTTAGCTACTTTAAAAAAAAGTAGCGCGCTAAAAAAATTAAATAATTTAAAAAAAAGTAGCGGCTATTAGCTATAGCTACCAAAATAGATAGCGCCCTAAGTAGCGCGCTACTTTAACAACTCTGGGCAACATGACCTATATTTATAAAGTTTAATCGTAGATTGTGATTTTAAAAGGACATTTTTGATTTAATAGTCAAATCTGCTACACAGAAAATCACAGCTGAATTAAAAATATGCACCTTTAGGATGTTTTAAATTTTCTATGGGCATAAAGTTATTAAAATAATACCAAAATAGACCCAATACCCCTAAAAAACTTAAAAAAGAGACTTGTATTATTTCTCACCAATAGGGATCTGAACTATGTGAGGACAACAGAATTACTATTATTAAGAAATAGTTGAGTTCGAAATTTCTTACTTGGTAAAGTAGAAATGATCTAATATCTCTCTGAGCTAAGTGTTTGGATCCTAAGAAAGTTTAAAAGGTATTGTATTACAAAAGTCTGTAAGATTGATGAGAATCTTAAAGTGAATAAAGATTATTAAAAAATTTTGTTTTGATTGAAAACTAAATTGAATCCAACCAAAAAATTCTTGAATACATGGATTATGAATTTTTTTAAAAAGACAATATAATATAGGTATAAAATTTTATAAAATAACTTCTTTTTATTTGAAATTTAGGAAATTTTTATATTGATTACTTAACAAAATTATTGAAACTTTATTACCAAATAAAATAATTTTAATTAAGTTCAAAAAAGTTACCATAATATTCTAAATAAAATAATAAATTGAATTAATATATGTATATTGATTTTATATAATAATATGTATATATGTTAGCTTTAATATGTTTTTTCAGTCAATGTGTTAATTATTTTTCAACGCTCCAAAATTTAGAATGAATACTAAATGTTTTGGACAAAATCAATTAAATAAAAAAAAAATAAAGGAAATATAACTAAAATTAAAGCATTTATGAAAATGTAAATAAAAATATTGTTGATACTTCCATTTCTGAGAAAAGATTGCAATTAGACATTTGTGCATCCTTAATTAATAAATATCTTGAATTCTCATTAAATTTGCAATTTAATTATATGTTATATCGATTTATAATATTTACTTAGAAAAATTTATTTTTTTATTAATTAAAAATTTTTTTGTAAAATTTCTAAAAAAATATATAAATTTATATATTTCGTAATCACAATCAAATTTGATATAATATTATAGTTATAAAAAATTTATTCTTAAAAATATTTTTGTAAAGTTTTAGAAAAAAAAAATTAAAAAAAATTTTTTTTTTTTTAAATATTTCTTTTTCTAATTTAATGAGGATTCTTAATATGAAAATATATCTAATTTTATTTATTAATTAAAGATGTTCAATTATCTAATTGATTTTTGATAAAAAACTGGAAGTTTTTATAAACACAAATATTTTTATTATAACTATTCCAACATGTGCTGAAAACCTTGTTATAAAAGTTTTGTTAAACTCAATATAATTTATACTAGTTTTTTCATAGATTTTGTAGGAAATATAGCGGGGAATGCGAGAGCTTATATTTATATTTATATCACTATGAATAATTATTATGATATATTATATAATAAAATTAAGACTTTTTATATATGAAAAAAGCTTGTCAATTTTGATCATATATAATATATCGTATTAAAGAAAGTAGTTTTATATCAATTACTATATTTTATAAATAAATAATATACTATATAGATTTTTTATATAAATTTTAAGATTCAAAAATTTAAGGCATGTTTGAATTTTACATGGTATATTTTTCTAAATATGCTGAAAATTTATTTCCTTAAGATAAAAATAAAACATACGAGGTCGAAAAATATAAAGATCCAGCGTGAGCCTGTTTGGAAAACTTTGAAGTTGGTAAAACATTAATAAAACAATTCTAATCGGAGATTTATCAAATTTTATATTTATAAATGCCTTAATAAAGAAAATAAATGAAAATGATAAAAAATTACACACCCAGGGCTAACACTAGCCCCGGTTTAACATATTTCTCATTATATGACTTATCTAATAAAAAAACTAAATTATATAAGTGATTTATAATTATTGCAGAAATTCTAAATAATTATTCTTTATTTCAAAAAATAGATTCAAAGAAGTTGTTTTAGTAAGGTCATCCATCAAGAACTAAATATAAATATAAACGAGTATCATAGTTAATTAAGAACAATTTTCAAGTTATGACACAACTCATAGTTCGAAATAACATAAAAAAAACTTACGTTTCTCTCCGGTATTATAATCTATATGAATATAAAATATTTTAAAGACTCCTTATATTTAAATATTATAAAGAAATAAAACTAGATTTTTTTTATAATAAAAAGTCATTTCTAATCATGTTCAATAAATAATTTAAAAATAACATTTTTTCTTATATAAAATTAAAAATATTATACTTTCCATTAGATATTTGCAAAAATCATCTCTCTCCATAAAGACTATTATAAAATAGTAGTACGAATATGGATAATTTTACGTTTAATAATAGAATAAAATAAAAATAGGGCCAAAATTTTTAAGCCCCGTCATGCTTGAAATATTTTGTAAAAAATTTGTCCGTCTCTGCCCTATCCCGAACATTATTTTTTTATTAATTTATCAGAAAAAGCTCGACTTGAAATTAAAATAAAGATTATTTGTCCTTCCAGCCTGAATTTATTTTAATATGGAAACTTTTCATTAATTTTTAATTGCAAAAATAATATTATAATAGATAATATTGGCCCCTTGCTTCCTGCAAAAATTTTAAAATTTGTCAAAATTATTTACAAAATTGATATGGTATAATATTTAAAAATTTAAGTCTGGCCTGAATTTTTTTGTAAAAAATAGACCCGACACAATCTGAACCAAATTTAATTAAAAAATAATAGGCCTTGCAGATCTCTAGTAAAAATCAGGATGTACAGAGTGGTAGAAGTTATTGTGCAAAATTTGATAGGGAATAGGCATCCAAGAGAGGTAGACTGAACACATAAAATGATTTATACGTGAGACTAATTTTTAATGATTATAACTGGGTAGAGAGATTCGAACCGATATATAGGAAAGAAACTTTTCTAATTGTTTGAATCTTAATTTTAATAAAACCTTTATACGCTGAACTAACCGAACCTTTTGTTTTATATATGAAAATTAAAACTCAGACAATAATATTTGATAACTTTCAATTTACTTTTCTCTTTTTTTAAAATTAATATTATAATGATATTTTTTTTCAAATTTTTAGTCTAATCTAATATTTTTAAATAATAAATTTATAATGTAAATCGAATAATAATAAATTTATAATATAGATAAATATTTAACCTAAAAAAATCTTTATAATTTTCTAAGCCCTTAATCGAACCTGAACCTTTCTATATAAGGTTTACGGATTCTTGATTATAACCAATCAATGTTTATTGTAATTTCTATCCTATATTATGATGCTTGAAATCATCTTGATGGAGGTTATAACTAGTGGCTCAATTAATGTGGAAAATATTTTGAAATATTTTTCAAAATAACATCCATCAAATTTACAATTGAATATGGGCCTGGAAGGTCAACAATTTATCAAATTTTTTGTCATTTAGACACTGTTGGGAATAATCTCTATCAAACAACTCAATATCTAACTAGACCTATATAATTTTATAAAAGAATCCTACTCCAGCAAAGTTTTGAAAATTTAATGATTTTGTAATTGTTCCTTTTATCAAAGACTTTCAAATAACGAGTTAGAAAAATAATCGAGATCTGTTTTGGATATAAAAATATTTTAAGAAAGTTAAACTCTCTAATTGCGATATGAATGCTACGCTTATACTGACCTAAATTTAGTCTTATTTTACATAAAATAAAGATTTCACAATTCATAAATTTGATAAAACAGCTTCCATGGAAATCTCTAATTATCTATATTTAGTGGTCAAAATATAATCAATTAAAATTATATATATTATATATATTTTTTTTAAATTACTAAAACACTTTTTCCCTATAATATTAAATTTTTAAAATGATAATTTTTAATTTAAAATATAATTAAAATGGTATGCCAATAGACGTAGTCTTAGGAAATAATAAAATAAATATTTTGAATTATAATATGTCGTATTAGGATATGGATTTCATAGTATTGAAATATCTCAATTTTGTAATTTTTTGTAGATTTTAACGGAAGAATAGATTAGATTGCAAATGTATTATTACAGCATTTGCTATGAATATCAGACAATTTTGTTGTAAAATTTATTTTTCATTTATATAAAAAAAATGAGTGTAAATTAAAAAGTAGTTCTGAAGTTCGGGACAAAATTTTCTGAAATTACAGCCTGGGACTCTAAAGATGCTGGAATTAATTTTTAACCAATCTGTGAAATCAAATTAAAAAATCGCCCTCAATATTTAAAATTGTGAGATCAAATCTCCAAGGAATTCCATATCCCAATTCCCAATACGACCTATATAAAGTAATCCTATTATTGCATCGCTTGAAAATCCATTTTTTTTAAAAAATAAATAAAATTTGAATTTGGTTTTATTAAACACAATCATATTGATATTTAGTAATTAAAGATATTAGCAATTAAAATATTACTAGCAAAAAAATTTAATATCATATTGGTCTTTAGCACTATGGTCAAAAAGCCCAATTTCGGTATCTATAAAAATGGCCCTATTAAAATTTTAGCCAAAATAATATTATGTAAGGTTGGAGGTATTACTCATAGATGGCAAACAAGGTTTGGACCTCTACATGGCAAATCTCGAGACT